ATATATATATATATATATATATGTTTTGTCCAACGATTAACAGTTAAATCTCGCATGTGAAATTCAATTTAAAGAATGTTTGCTATGTGAATAGATTGAGGTATGATTGAGAAAAAGTATGAACATGTTAACCATTTGCTTGGTTGGTTTAGTAATAACTATTTTTACTTTGAACTGGTTGTTGTAGAAGGGTAAATATTTTAAAAAAAAAATCACAAGATTTTCCTTGTACACTGATTCAAAACTCCTAAAATTCTCCCATTATTTTTCAGTGTGCCTTACTGGTTTACAATAAAGCTGTAGTAGCATAGTTACAACAACAAAACCCAACAATTAATATACAATGTATCTTTTTTTTTTACCCCTCCTTTTCCTTCCCAATGTTTGCCATTTCCCCCTATTTTCCATCATCAAAGATTCATCGGGATTTTCAAAAACTTCAAAATTCATTCCCTTACCATCTAGACATTTATTTGGAAGGATATTTACACCTTTGCTTGTGAAAATTTAGTCCTCCATGATGCATGTATGCAAACAATCGAACATTTTATTGTAACATTGTCATTAATCTATTGTTTGTTTGTTTTATCGAAGCTCCAAATTCATGCACAAGCATTTCTCATGAAACTCGCATACAAGTGATCAAAATATAAATTAATTGAAATTTTTTAAATTTAAATCTTAAAAGAGAAGAAATAGCATAATTATTTTTTTTTAACAGGGAAAAATTCAAAAAAGATTACGAATCACTTAAAGAACGTCTGGAGACTTTACCTGATGTAGTTTCTTATGAAATAATGGTAAGTGTATGTAATTTATTCAGACCTGCAAGTTAGTTCATAAACTGATGTATATTTTACTATACTTACACATGTAGTTGAAGATTTAAGTCGAAAGAAACCTATTGGTTTTGTTTAGTGTTTAAATATGAAGTATTTACTAAAGTAAAGTATTATTTTAAAAATATATATATAAAAATAAACAAAGTAATGGAAGGCCATGAGAATTTTGTAGATTTCAAAAAATGTAAAGCCCAGTCTGTTCTTAAATTACTACTTGACAGTGAGTTAGATCATCTTCAGGGGATTTCACCCCTCATCACTGATCCTGAACATAGGCAATCCAAGTAAAATTACTATAATAATAATAATAAATACTTAAGTATTAAGGGCTGTCCCCAAGGTGCCCAAGGTGGTGGAAATACCTTCAGCCCACTCTTTTGGTTTCTAAGTGGATGAAAGTGAATTTTTTTAACAACTCCAGGTATTTTAGTGGTAATCTGGAGCTCGTGACGTAGAATTTAAGTACTTTTTTATTAACCATAGATGAAGAACAAGACTAGTTATCACATATTGGTTTTCTAGTGTTTTAAGTTTTTCTTTACTGTATTAATTATACGGATTTGGAGAATGTATAAAATTAATGCTACTAATTTATTCTTCTAACTCTATGGTGAATAGGCTGTATAAGTTAAGGTATTTTTCTTATAACATTAAGGTTGCACATTTCAGTATGAAAAATACAGGAAGGCCCAGTCTGTTTTTGACATTGCCACATTTTTGCTGAATCAAACCAGTAGCATCTTCTGTTTTACCTTTCATAGTGACAAGATAGCACATGGTAAATAAAAGACAATTCGAACACCATACTCAGAAGGCTACTTTGGCCACTGAAGTCCCATACACATGAACTGAAACACGTGTGTCCAAAACTGTAAATTAATTTTGAATTCTAGTCTAACAGAAGTTAGAGATGATTGTGCACTGAAGATCCCCCCCGGATGTTTTGTTTGAGGAGGATTGAAATAGTGTGTAAGGGTTCTTTTGGGGCTGAAATAGTACGTACGGGCCTTGCAGGTCAAAAAACAGGTGCCCGTTTGGCAATTTCAAGGGTTTTGAAAATAGTAGATGGTTACCATGGCAAAATTAGGATATAACGTGAAATATTTTTAATATCGATTTGGTTAAATTGTCTAAATATATATTTTACCACATGCCCAAATCAATCGTTACATGGCCTTGATTTTCCAAGGTGACAGGCCATAGTCATTGTCAAACTTAACAAAAAGGAAAAAAATAAATTTAATGGTGCTGTTGTCAGCCAATTGCCATCCTTCAAGTCAGTAGCTCAAAATTAATAATTGATAGGGACCCAAATATACCTATGACTCTCAAGAAGGAAGCCTAAATGGTATCAAAGTGATAAAAAATTAAGATAGAATACAGTGTGTAGTTCCCAGTAATTACAAAATTCTTCAAATTGGAATATCACACCTACTGCAAATCTTGCTAGTTGGATATTAAGGCATCTTGGGAAAATTGAGACATAACTGTGGAAAACATAAAAACTGGCAGCCAGTTTTTATAAGGCAATTATAAGAACCTATGATTGGTCAAGACACTTTATCAGTTGCTTGAAGAACAGCTGTTCTGGCATGAACTAGATTAAATTTGTAGAACTGTAATTTTTATCACTTATAATTAAGTTAAAAATCACAGTTATATTTATAATTCTTATTAATATCAAATTATTTATTTCATTACCAATTTATTTTTTATTATTAGTGATATTTTTATCCTCAATAAAGACAAAAAGATCTGAACCACCTGAGAAGAGGTAAATATGTATGTATAAATGTGTAATAATTATGTAGGAGAATCATAAATGCATATAGATTATAGTGTTCTTTTAACTTTTTAATTAACAAACTGTAGCGAAACAGTGCCATATTGCACACAGTACAGTAATAGTCAAAACATTTCATTATAAAGCAGATATTTACTTTCAAAGTATAAAAGTAATTTAAATTATTTTTTATAATGCAAATAATGTAGCCCTGTTATTATCTAAAGTATAGATATCAGATACTGATATCTTTTGCTAAAAACCTTGTGTTTTTAGCCACTCATAGAACAGCTCTGAGGTTTTTTTCAAGTACAAACTTTTAACTTGTAGCTGTGTCGTCTCTTGACCGAGTTGAGATCTAATTACAGTTTTGGACTCAGGAAGTCAAACTCTTTCGATTGATGTATTTGACCACTCCCAGGTACTCGTAGATTAATTTACTCTAATCCTGCCTAAAAGAATTTCAAGTGCCACAACTATTGAGGATTCCCTTTTGTTTTGAATACATGAGAGGAACAAGTAATTCCTTGTGTTCAAAACTTAAAGGTTGTTGGACCGACAAACTGGTAATGAAGAAATATCAGCCAGCACTACCAATAGGGCAGAAAGAAAATTTCTCTGTTGTGTAATCGTCTAATGCAATTTATTAAAGATTTGAGGTTAAGTCTTTATCTTTTTACATCATTATAATTTTTTAAAACAGGTTAAAAAATGTGGACCAACATTATTTTACAATAAATATTCTTTATAGTATAAATATTTATATGTTTTTATACTTTAAGTATTAGTAATTTCTCTCATGTTTTGTTAACAGTCACTGAACACCAAGTGAAGTTAGTTATTCTATTTAACCCTTTGGATACTATTATCGGATTTATCCAACTTGACATTTGTAGCCGATTGGTACGACAAGCAGATATATCCCACAGTGTCACAAAAACTTTTTGTCGTAGTGAGACAATCGAGATACTCAAGTCCTAGAATTTCCTGCTTTAGTTCTGGATATGCGTACGTCACCAAGCAAAAGTGTATGTAGTGGATTTTGATATTAGAAAAGTACTAAAAGCCAAATTCTAAATTAAATTTTTAGTGGATAATTGACACTTTTCGAGAACCAACCCGAAATTTAATTATGCACTCAAAGGGTTAAACTAGATGAATGTGGATGTCTTTACATGGTCAGAAATTCTTTGAGTCATACACACTTGACTTAGGAAAGATAAAAACATTACACATATAAAGTTGTCAAACTAGAATGATGACTTAAAATCTTCACATTTCATTTTATTTATGTTACATGTATAATAATATAAATGTATTTGTCTTCTTTAGAATTACTGGTATAAAATGCCTAAACTTTTATTAAACTCACTTATGACTGCTCGTCATTGAGACGTAGCTCCTGTCTGGCCAAAGTTTTGGGTCCAGTATGTATTTCATCAGCCTGGCATAACCTGGTGGTTAGGATGCTCAACATGCAATCTGAGGGTTGTGGGTTCAAATCCCCATCACTGAACATGCTCCCCTTCTCAGCTGTGGGGGAGTTATGATGTGATGGTCATTCCCACTGTTTGTTGATAAAAGAGTAACCCAAGAGTCTGTGGTGGGTGGCATTAACTAGCTGCCTTCTCTTTAGTCTATCATTGCTAACTTAGGGATGGCTAATGCAGATAGCCCTTGTGTAGCTTTGCATGAAATTCAAAACAAAACCAGTACATATTTCATATTTCTAGATATTGGAGTCTCGTACTTTTGCCCAAGAATAAGTCTGCATCTGGGGTTCTTTCGAGTTTGCTGTCCCAAACATTTCATTCCACCACTTGTAGTTGAAGTCTTCTTCAGTATAAGACCAGTTAAATAGTTTAGTGGTTCCAGAAATTGGAGTTACAATTAAAATTCAGTTTTTATTTTATTTGTTTTAGGTACCTTTTGGACCGCAGGCATTTATTCCTGGATCTCTTGTCCACACCAATCAGATAAAAGTTCTTCTAGGAGACAACTGGTTCGTTGAAAGATCGGCAAAACAAGCTTCGGAGATAGCAGGTCGAAGGATTAAGCGTAAGTGTTTATCACGTCTCCACATCAAGTGGGCATAAGTGTTTATCTCATCTCCATGTCAAGTTGGTGTAAACATTTATCTCGTCTCCACACTAAGTGGGTGTAAGCATTTATGACATTTTTTACGTAAAGTGGGTGTAAGTGTTTATCTTTATCTCGTCTCCACACTAAGTGGGTGTAGGCATTTATGACATTTTTACGTAAAGTGGGTGTAAGTGTTTATCTCATCTTCGCATCAAGTGGATGTAAGCATATATGTCATTTTCACGTCAAGTGGGTGTAACATTTAAGTCATTTCCACATCAAGTGTATGTAAGCATTTATGTCATTTCCACATCAAGTGCATCACATGGTGTGGAAATGTCAAGCATCTACATGTACTTTATATCTTTTTATTTTTACACAGTTTTGATACCCTGAAAGTAAAAAAATTGATTTTGTTATAAAACATACAGCGCATGTGTGCAACTCTAAGTTTATATAGATGTTCAGACAAGAATATTAAGATAGTAAATAAGCACATCTTTACAATTGAATTATTACATTTACAAAAAGTGTTTATATGTTATATTCTTTCTGTTGAAACCTTTTTCCTTCAGTTTTCAAAAAACTGTTTATATGCTTTACCTTTCAAGCTCAGTTTTTAAATTTATTGCTTCATGTTATTGTTTGTTTGTTTTTTATCATCATCACACATCCCTTGTGTATACTTTTGGTACCTTTTTGTTTGCTTCTGGGAGGTGAAAGGTCAATAGACAAGGACTTAGATTCACTAAAATCTACTAACATAGAATTAGTTCATATCAAAATATTTGAATGCTTAATGGATTGGATATGCTAGTGCTTTGGCTTATCGCTGCAGGTGGGAGCTAATGGACCGTGTGCAGTATGTTTAACACTTGCATATTTGGCTCAGAGGTTCATAACCAGTACTGCTAGTATGGATTCGTGCCTGTATGAATTGTCACAACCCATTCTGAGGAAGAAAGATATTCATGTAACAAGATTAATAAATGTTATAAAGCTAAAAGACTCAACAATTCTAAGAAAGGAGCCTTCCGTATTCCCCATGGAAGGAGAAAAACTTGCACGTCAGAGCATTTAAGAAAGCAGTAGTCTCTAAAACCACGCATCAACCCAGTTCATAGTATTTCCCTCATTTCCAAAATGAAAGTGCTGTGGTTACAACAGAGAATTCTCAGAACTAAAAACAAACCGTTGCAATGAAACTGGTTATATTAGCAATATAATAATAAAGATTTTATGCTTACAAACTTACAAAATAATTGATATATGAAAATATAAAAACAATTCTGGAACTCAGTCTAAGTTAAATTTGCTGGGTGAAACTGATGAGGCTAAAGTCTCATTCAAAAGCATGTAGAAATATTTTTATCAATTATTTAGGATGTAAAAAACCAGTATTTTTATGGCTAATGTAATAAACAGTTTTCGTTTGGAGCTTGTGTTTCTTTTTATTTAGAATTTATCTATCTGTATGCTGTTTTATTTCACTGAAAAGCCCTTGTAATGCTCAGTTTTTTTTCCACAACAACCAAAGTGTATACTTGGGTAGCTACTGTTTCTAGCAGCCTGTGCATAATTAGATTTTGCTGCATGCTAAGATGAAGAAAATGAAAATTTAACTCTTAAATATCGAAAACCAACTTTAAGGCCATGAGATGAGGTTTATCACAACTTTTTTTTTCTTCAAATAAAAAAGTTTTGTAAAATATGTGAAGTGATCTCATAACCAAAAATGTTTTGGCCCTGTTATTTTAACAAGGTTCAGTTCTTGTTTGATATTTACTTCAACTATGTTTCAAAACATAAATATTTGCTTCTTAATTGTAAGGTATGGAAAGCATGTTATTAACATTTAATTTAATTGTAATCAGAGCAGTGTGTTGTTTATTTCATAACATTTATTTCTTCCAGAATGTGACAAAATGTTATCTGATTTACACAAAGAAAAGGAACAATTTCAGAACTGGATTAGTTACACAACAGAGATACAGGTTAGTGAAAGTAGTTCCTTTTTAACATTACCGTGTTCTGAGTAACTTAACAAGTGTTTGTGTTCCGTGTTTTAACACTACCGTGTTCTGAGAAACTAACAAGTGTTTGTGTTCCGTGTTTTAACATTACCGTGTGCTGAGAAACTAATAAGTGTTTGTGTTCCGTGTTTTAACACTACCGTGTTCTGAGAAACTAACATGTGTTTGTGTTCCATGTTATGAGAAACTAACAAGTGTTTGTGTTCCATGTTTTAACACTACCGTGTTCTGAAAAACTAACAAGTGTTTGTGTTCCGTGTTTTAACATTACTGTGTTCTGAGAAACTAATAAGTGTTTGTGTTCCGTGTTATGAGAAACTAACAAGTGTTTGTGTTCTATGTTTTAACACTACCATGTGCTGAGAAACTAACAAGTGTTTGTGTTCCGTGTTATGAGAAACTAACAAGTGTTTGTGTTCCATGTTTTAACACTACCGTGTTCTGAAAAACTAACAAGTGTTTGTGTTCCGTGTTTTAACACTACCGTGTTCTGAGAAACTAACAAGTGATTGTGTTCCGTGTTTTAACACTACCGTGTTCTGAGAAACTAACAAGTGATTGTGTTCCGTGTTT